GTAATGTATGATTTTATATACCATGCTTAAGTCGGACCGAAGACGGCGTAATTCAAGGTTTTCTAGTTTTAGAATTTCGAGTCTGGTGGCATAAGGTATTCTACAACGAGTAGAAGAGTGGAGAACTCTTCTTGTGAAATACTTCTGGACTTTCTCAATTGTGCTAATATCACATACGTAATAAGGATTCCAGACTGATGAACTGTATTCGAGTATTGGTCTAGCAAATGTTTTATATGCTCTGGTTAGTAGTGAGATATTACCAGAGAAAAAGCAACGTAGGATTAGGTTAACAACTCTTAATGCCTTTTTGGCTATGTAGTTGCAGTGGGCTCTAGCACTTAGATCATTAGAGGTGAGTATTCCCAGGTCCTTTACAGAGCTTGGGTCGTCAACAAGATCTTGACTATTCAGCTTGTATTTTATTTTCTGATTTTTTTTACCAATATGTAAGACAGAGCATTTATTTGTTGAGATTTGAAGTTGCCATATGTTAGACCATTCAGATACATAGTCTAGGTCTTTTTGAAGGGTAGTAGTATTGTCTGTGGTATTGAACAGCTTTACATCATCAGCGAAGAGAACGCAATTGCTCTTGATATGATCACAAAGGTCGTTTATGTAGATTATGAAGAGAGTTGGTCCTAGAACACTGCCTTGGGGAACACCACTATTGACAGGTACTGGATTTGATAGGGCGTTCCCGATTTTGACCATTTGTTGTCTGTTTGACAGGAATGCTTCTATCCAGTTATTTAGTTGTCCAGAGATACCATAAGATTTTATTTTTAGGAGTAGTTTGTCGTGTACCACTGAATCAAAGGCTTTACAGAAGTCTATGTAGATTGCGTCTATTGCTTTGCCCTGGTCGAGTTGTGTAGTCCATATGTTTTTGCAGTGTAAGAGTTGCAGATTACAGGATAGTTTTTTTCTGAAACCAAATTGTTTATTGGAGAGTAGGTTGTTTGTCTCTAAATGGAGGATGATGGATTGGTTAATAATTGATTCCATGACTTTACAGGTGACGCAGCATAAGGAGATTGGTCTGTAATTTTCAACTAGGCTTGGGTCTCCCTTTTTGAAGATAGGGATGACTGTGGCTTGTAACCATAGGTTAGGCAAGGAGCTGGTCCTGAAAGATTTTTCAAAGATTATGCTTAGAGGTTTGGCTATGGCAGTGGATAGCTTTCTTAAGAAGTAGGCACATATTCCATCCGGTCCAATAGATAGAGATGGTTTTAGGTTGCGTAGTGCTTTTTCAACGTTGTCTACTGTAAAATCGATATGTATTAGATCATTGTTGTTATCTGTGGTACGGCTAGGAAACATTGGCCATGATCCATTACTGTTTACAAACACTGAGCCGAAGAATGTGTTAAAGATGTTGGCTTTAATGGTGTCGTCGCTGCAGTCTTTACCATCGGGTCCTATCAAGGGAGGGATGGACCTTGAGTCTTTTAGTTTGTTGTTTACAAAATTGTAAAAAGCACGGGTGGAATTGGTGCTTAGAAGGTTTTCCTCTTGTTTAATGTGATAATTGGTGCATTCGGTCTTTATCTGGTGGCATAAATTTTTGTATCGGTTTTTGAAATTAGCAACGTGACCAGATTTGTTTTTCCGCCAGAGTGATCTCTTTTTGGATTGAAGTTTCCTTATTGATATGGGTAATCTGCTTTTTTGTTTTGTTTTTGGAGTTGTTGTTGGAACATATAGTTTGATGACTCTTTTGACTTCAAGTAAAAAAATGTTGTAATGGTCTTCAACAGTATTGCATCCAGTGAATAGAGATTGCCAATCGAGGGATGAGAGATCGTTATCTATAAGATCATAGTTGCCTTTTTTGAAGTTACAATTAGGGATGACATCATTGTGGTGATTTTTGTGTGGACGTATGTTGAGGCAAAAGTCAATCATATTGTGGTCACTACTGGAAAAGGGTTCTTTGGTTTGTATTCCGTAAATTAAATTCAAACTATTGCAGAAGATGAGATCGAGGCAGTTGTTCAGTCTAGTGTTGTTGGTTACTAGTTGTTCAAGACCTAGATTTGTAATAGCATTGTAGAAGGTTGTGTGTATGATTTCAGTTGTACAATTATTTAGGGTCCAGTCGATATGAGGTAGATTGAAATCTCCAAGAAAGATAAAAGGGTATGGGCAGGATGTAGCCCATGTTAGTAGTGTATTTAGCTTGTTTACATATTCGATGTAATATCTGGCTATAAAGTGACAAAAGCATATGCCCTTATGCAGGGGTCCCCACCCCCCCGGTCCGTGGACAGGCACCGGGCAGCAGCATGCCAGAAACCAGGCCACACAAACAAGCAAAGGTCCATCCACAGGATGCAACTGCACATGAAACTATGCCCCCTCCAGTCCACGGAAAAACCTCTCCCCATGGAACCGGTCCCTGGTGCCCCAAAGGTTGGGGAGCAGCACTGCCCAAAATGTACACATTAAGTTCCACAAGATTCTTTCTACTTTCAGAATAATACTTGGGTTAGGGAGGAGTCTATAGGATAATCAGTCCAGGCAATAAAGATATTGCTCAAAAATAAGATATGAGAAGTGGGAGGATGATGTTTAACATATACAACGGGCTGGCAGTTGAAATGATAGATAAAATCGGCATTCACTGCTGTTACTACTTCTCACAATTGTTTGATAGAATTTTAATAGTATTTTTCAACCTAGGCTGATAACTGATTTTGATTTTGTAGACCTCTGGGAAGGGTTTGGGGGATCCCCAGGGGTCCTATGGCCACACTTTAAGAAACATTTTTTTAAATAATTGTATTTCTAGTATTTGTTAAGATACACAACATTTTTTTAGTGGTTATCTGCTGTTCCAATGAGACAGACTCTGAATTGCAAACAATATACTTTATATGCAGGATCATTCTTTCAAAATACAATTTTATTCTAGTTTTAAAGAGTCTTTTCCCAAGATGAAATTAAGTCGTTTTGTTAACAATACAAATAAAAAAATTGAAGTTTAGCTCATCATAAAACTCAGTAACTAGGTATATCTTTTTATCTTTCAACCAGATGATTGGAGCCTAGCTTTTTAATCAAGATATATTTGTCTGTTTACTTATTTATTTTAGTCGGTCGATATGGGCCATCTTGTAATAGTGACTCTTACAATATCCACGTATTACAGCAAAGACTCTCTGAAGCAACTTAAGGCTAGGGCATTGTAAAACATTGTTAAATAATGAAAACTATTATGTAAAAATATTAAACAATGAAAACTAATTTATATGGAGATTTGGTGTAATACCAAGACATATCAGTTACCATCTTCACAAAATTGTTTCCATCCACTATAGACATATTTAGGAAGCATTAATAAGTCTGCCATCTCATAAGGCTCAGGGGTCATAGGTAAGATCTTACACCTTTCCCTAATTACCTCATGATTTCATAGTTATTGATTTTTGTATGTTACTCATTACTGTTGTTGGAGAGAGGATTTGCTCCTTGTTGAAAACCACTTAGAAACTTTTTAAAAATATTTTTACAAACAGTATCAGGTAACTATATTAATATAACCATTTAGAATCTTAATGAGGTGGGTGCACTCAACAAATATAGGTAATTTTTCGACTTCTTAGTTCGATGTGACAGAAAAAAAGTGACATGACCATTTTTCATACTATGACCATTGCAGCATCGTGATCAAAATTGGAAGGCTTGGCAGCTATTATGTATTTATGACAGTTGTGTTCTTTGTAACAGTCACATGGTTGTGAAGTGAATCCAGCTCCTGCCCCGCTACTGACTTTGCTTGTTGAAAACTATCTGGGAAGGTTACAAATGGCAATCACATGACCCAGGGACAGTACAACTGTCACATATACATGCCAGTTGCCAAGTGCCTGATTTTTTTTTTTAATCACAAGACCATGGGGTAGTCATGGCAACGGTTGTGTAAAAATAGTCACAAGTCGCTTTTTTTTTTAACGCCATTGTAACTCTATGTTGAAGGCTACCTGTAAGGTAAAACATTGTAAAGGGAGTCCTCAACTTACAACAGTTAGCTTAGTGACCGTTCAAAGTTACGACACTGAAAAAAAGTAACTTATGACCGGTTTTCAGGGTTACATTTCCAACATCCCTATGATCATGTGATCAAAATTCAGATGCTCAGCAACGGATTCATACTTATGACCATTGCTATGTCCCAAGGTCACATGATCATCTTTTGCGACCTTTTGACAAGTAAAATCAATGGGGAAGCCAGGTTCACGTAACAACCAGGTTACTAACTTATCAACTGCAGTGATTCAATTAGCAACTGAGGTAAGAAAGTTGAAAATGGGACAAAATTCACTTAGCAAACATCTTACTTAGAAACATAAATGTTGGGCTCAATTGTTATCATAAGTCGAGGACTACCTGTATTCTGATACATGCTATCTTGGTTGTTGTCCCCAGGTAGCCAGCATGCTGTACAAAAATGAGCAATGAATGCAAATAAATATTCCTTATGGGTAAAACTGTCCAATCCAATATTGCTGGTAGGAAGGTATGGGTTTAGAAGCAAAATACCTGGAATGGAAACCGAAAGATAATTTATTTAAATTGCAGGTGCATGTAAAAGCATGTATAGGTTCAAAGTCTGCAATGCCTGTGTACATTTTCATTTCCTAATTCTAAAGTTTCCAAAGTCTCTGGTTTTCAGATTATGGAAGCTGCAGTATTAATTTATCCAAGGCTCCAGGCTGCAGTAAATTCAGTAACAACGTCACCGCTAGAGAGCAAAAAAATATATTTTAAACTAAATTTTCCTATTCCAGGCCCACTGACGTTTGTTCCCGCGCGCTAGGTCTCCATCACCGCTCTAGGGTTGTGAACCGCAAAGCCAATTCTCCCTTTTGGTTTCTCGCCTATTCCCTCCCCAATTTTTTTTTTTCTTGCCTCCGCCCTTCTGAGAAAGAGGAGGTGGTGCCGCCTTCGCTATAATCACGTGACGGGCGCATCCGGGCCTTTTGCCTTCTCTCGCTCATCCCAACATGGCGGCCTCAGGTGAGCGGTGCTCCGCGGGGCGCGGGCCTTCGCTGATAAGGCAGGCCGGTAGCGTCTGCCTCGATCTCATTCCAACGCCGTGTTGCAGGGGAGAGGCCTGCCGTGAAGCCTCCGTGGGCCCTCGGCGTCTCTTTTAGGCCTGCTGGGCGCCGACGTGGGGGTGGGAGTGGGGGGCAGCGGAAGGCGAAACTCGAATCGGCGCGCGCCGTGGTTTGTCGAACGCGGCAAAGCGGCCTTGGGTCGTTCTGGCTTTCGGGCGCGCGGGCGGCGGAAGCGGCACCGCGCGCCCGAATTAAGTGACCAGCAATCTACATGGTGGGTGGGGGGGAAGGAAGGAAGGAAGGAAAGAGAGCACATGGAACCTTCGGCTGCCTTCCAGTGCGCAGTCGCGGCGGGCCCGGGTTGAAGTGGGGAGGGGAAGAACCTTGGGCGGCACCCACGTGGGTGCAGCTCCGGATGGCTCCCCAGCCGCGGGACACGTCGCGAGTGGGACTTGGGGCGTCCTTTCTCTCCCCCGCCTGCAGAGAAAGAGAGACACGAGCAGCCCGTCGTTTCCCCCCCCTCCCCGCTTTTAAATTTTTTAAACCCCGCTTTCTTTCTGCCAACGCTCCTCTCCCAATATCTTTTTATCTTCCTTCTGGGCTCCGAAGGGGCCGGTTAGGAAACCCTCCTGTCGGGAATGTGTTGTCTGTAAGGGGGGGGGGGGAGTGTCACATGAGGTGGCATGGGGCCCTCGGCCATTTGCTGTGAATCTCTCGCAATGACGTAAGGAGATCCGGCCTACCTTGGAAGCTGCCCTTAAAGGGTTTTGCTGAACGGAGGAGGGTTTTTTTTTTTGTGAGGGGGGGGGGGTGGAAAACAACACTGCAAAGGGTCCGAAAGGGCTTTAATGGAGATCGCGGTGTGGTCGTCCTCGTCATCCTCTCTTAAGGAATGGGAAGAAGGCACGGCCTTCCTTTTTTTTCTCGGAAATTGAGGGGGGGGGGCAGGCACTGCCTAGTCCATGGACGGCTCAATTCTGCACAAGGTTATTTTTCCCTTACTTGCCGTTCTGCACCTCGTCAACAAAACGCACTGTACAACTGGTAAAGGCCTCAACGACCGCAGTGGAGCCCAGCATTTATGTTGCTTAAGGGAGAAGTTTGTTCAGGGAGTTTTTGCCCCATTTTATGACTTTTCTCCCCAGGTGTGCTAGTTTAAGTGAATCACTGCAGTTGTTAAAATGAGTTAACACAATGGTTTAAGTGAACCTTGGTTTCCCCATTGTCTTTGCTTGCCAGGAGGTCACAAAAAGGTGATCACATAACCTTGGGACACAGCAACTGGTCATAAGGATGAATCAGTTGGCCCAAGCATCTGACTTTTGATCACATGACACGGCAACTGTCATGAATAGGAACCAGTTGCCAAGCAGCCAAATGTAAATCACATGACCGTGAGGATGCTGCAGCGGTCATAAGTGTGAAAAATGGTCATAAAGTCACTTTTCAGTGCCGTAACTGAACGGTCACTAAGCAAACTGTTGTAAGTCGAGGTCTACCTGTATTTCTAAAAATAGTTTTTATATTCATGCTCTTCCTAGAATAGTTCTATGTGCTGATTGTGTTACCTTTGTAACATTTGCCATAATGCATGCATGCCCCATTATAGAGAGCCTTATTCATGCACCACCACTACAATTTGGGGGGAAAATGTGGCATATTGATAATGTGGTAAAATGAACTCTTTATCAGTCCAATCTATAGAATAGGCTTTTAAAACAGTTTTTGTCGTTCAGTCGCCAAGTCCGACTCTTTGTGACCCCATAGACCAGAGCAAGCCAGGCTCCCCTGCCCTCCCCTGTCTTCCTGCTACAGTCCTAATTTAAAGCAGTAGTTTTCTTTTTATAAGTTAGAAAGCCAGTAAATCATGACGCATTGGGGTAGAGCTTCTGCATTGTATGTTTCTCTGCCTTCATAAGTCTTTGTTGGGTGGGTGTTTACTATTGGGAAACATTCATGAATGACGTCCCTCATTAAAATATGAAGTGATTTGGATGACTTTAGCATTTTGTTATCTTATATGAATAGATAAAGTGTACCCTGCAATCATTTTTTCTCCCAGTAGTTTTGACTATGCTGTTATATGCGTACTTCAGTTAATGCTGCTTATGTAGCTTTGCCCTTGGGAGGAATACCTGGGCTTGTAATGTATTATTAGGATCCTTGAATATAATTTTCTGATTTAATTTTGAGGCTTTTAATATGTGCAGGGTTTTTCATGTGGTAGAATGTTATCATCTGCACAGAATATATATATGTATGTGTGTGTGTGTGTGTGTACGTATGTATGTATGTATGTGTATACACACACACGCACACACGCACATACACACACACAGAGAGAGGATATATACTTCCTATTTCTAGTTATTTTCCCTTATCTGCCATTACTGCCTCAACTATTTGCCCAAAATATATTTTTGGAAAAAGAATGATAGATCTGGGATAGATTTAATAGGATTACCAGATAGCAGGATTGTTCCTACTGTAGCTTTATTGATGAAACATATTAGAAGAAACGTCAAGAATTTTATCACATTCTCAGAAGATTACCGTATTTGCCGGCGTATAAGACGACTTTTTTGCCCCGAAAAACATGCCTCCAAGTGGGGGGGGGGGTCGTCTTATACGCCGGTATATCCACTGCCGGCTTTCGGATGCTTGTTGGACGCAGCGAAGGCGCCACTGGCTTCCCGGATCCCCTGCGTTGCTTCCGCTTCATCCCGCTCGCCTCGCTCCGCCCGAGGCTGCAGCCTTCCTGCTCTTCCCATGGCCCCTGGCACTCCGCCCTGCCGCTGCAGCCCCGGGGATTTCTGGAGGGCGTTTCCGGTGGTGGTGGGGGGTCGTCTTATACGCCGGGTCGTCTTATACGCCGGCAAATACGGTAGTACCGGCAGAAAGTTTCTCTAAAAAGCAGCTTTTTGAGTTCCAATAATTTTACCTTCACCTACATTTTATCTAGGAAGTTGTATGTTTTTAGGGTGTGTTCTCAGTTCATAAGGAATGTGGCAAAAAAGATTTAGATGTGATTCCCCAGAAGAAGAATGACAAATTGAAGCATGCTAATTAAAAACATTTAATTAGGGATCTTAATCCCTCTTCCCAACTGGGTGCATAGAGTGCACATTTTTAAAAAAATGTACATATAGTTACAAAACAAATACAATTGCAATAGAAATTGATTGCTAGCCAGTATACTGTAGATATTTTGTAGAAGTATTCTAAAGTATACTGTAATTTGACTGCACCATTCACTAATTTATGCTAGAAATCCAGCAGATAAAAAATACTGTGTAAATACTGTGGGGTTTTTTCTTCTCCTTTCCATTCAATGATGTCCAGTTCTTGGAGGCTGCCTGGACAAGTCCCTGCAGTATTCTTGGCAAATGGTTTGCCACTTCCTTCTTCCTAGGAGTGAAGAGAAAATGACTAGCCCAAGTTGGGTCACCCAGCTGTTTTTGTGCTTAAGGTGGGACTAGTCTTTCAGTTTCTAGCTGATGCCTTAACCACTGAAACCAAACTAGTTCTATACAGTAATCTAAACCTTTTAGGAATAGCACCATGTAAAAAGGCTTAGATTCATTTAAACTCTGTTATGCAATTCCCTGAATGTAACTGATCCTTTGCCTTAAACAGAAGTCCTGTTGCAAGGTTGCGCACTCTATGACCAACACCCAGTTTGTTAGCACATGAAACTGACCAACACAGTTGAAACTTTGGGCTTTCCCACAACTCTGACATATATGCCCCAGGCCCAATGCCTGTACAGATCAGTGTTGATTTGAAATATGTGCCTTTGAATTAGTGTTGATCAGTTTTAACTTTTGGTGATTGCTTGGAAAAATTGTTGCAATGTTCTTGGCAAAATTTCAAGTGTTTGCCTTTGCCTGCTGCCTAAGGCTGAGAATGACTGGCCCATAGTCACCCCACTTTTCATGCCTAAAGCTGGACTAGAAATTTCCACTTTGTAGCTTAATGTTTTAAACACTATACCAATGTGGTTCAATTGCCCCAAAGCTGTCTGCAAAATTCATTGTCAGTTGTGTAAATATGGGAACAATTTGCTACATGCTGGAATTCTGAAAATCTTTAAGGTTTATTTATCACTTTATAAACCTGCTTTCTTTATATCAAACCTATATTGTTTTTCAAGATAGTGCTAACAGTAGGGGGGTTTCCCTCCAGGTGAGATTCTTCTTTCCCCAAAGGTGCATCTAGAAAGGTTTTGTTATTTTATATTTTTCATTTGATCTTTACCAGGGCAGCCTAGAGAACATATTTGTAGGAAGATGTACAAAATACAAAACTATCTTTAGTATAGGAAGGGACATTATATATCTGAAATATTCATATTTCAAACAAAATGTGAAAGATTCCCAAGCAAAGAGAGAATCTTTTGTGGCATGACTTTTTCTCGTTGTGCTAGAACCATAAGAGTGCACTCCCTTCTTAGCCCCCAACATTTCGGTTAACAAAATATGGTTCTATTTTATTCCATTACAGAAACATTTCTGTCCAAATGCTTCTTATCTTTGCCAGGAAAAATGAAAAATTTTGCTGTTATAATAAATAAGATCTGAAGAGTTTGACTGCCGTAGTTTTTACAATACATCTGCTATCAGTATAAGAAAAAAGGTTGGATAAAGATTAGATTTATCCAAGGTCTTTAGGGTTTCTTTTTCTGTGGTTTCAAGGTTTTGAAACACTTGTTTGCACAACAGTGAACCTCTTTATGGTGCAGAAACAGTTGGAGCCTCTAGCTTTGTTGGAAGGAAGTGGGAAAACAGCTTAAAAGTTGTCCTTTTGTGTATAATGTTGTAAAATCAGACCATATCACATAAAAATATATTTCAGTCTAATGGTTTCAGCAAACATTTTATTTGCATTCTAAAGTGGAAAAAAAGCCTTTTGCTCCTTTCCAAGATTTGATGCACTCTTTTCATATTGCATAAAGGTCTC